GTTGGAGGTTGCAGTGAGCCAAGATGGCGCCACTGCACTCCAGCCTGGTGACACAGTGAGACTCCGTCTCAAAAAAAAAAATTGAAATAAAAAAATGGGCCAGGTGCGTTGGCTCAAGCCTGTAATCCCAGCACTTTGGGAGGCCATGGCAGGTGGATCACTTGAGGTCAAGAGTTCCAGACCCTCCTGGCCAACATGGTGAACCCCATCTCTATTAAAAATACAAAATTAGCCAGGCCTGGTGGTACATACCTATAATCCCAGCTATTTGGGAGGCTGAGGCAGGAGAATCTCTTGAACTTGGGTGGCAGAGGTTGCGGTGAGCTGAGATCGTGCTGTTGCACCCCAGCCTAGGCAATAAGAGCGAAGCTCTGTCTCAAAAATAAAATAAAATTAGCCAGGTGAGATTGTGGGCAGCTGTGATCCCAGCTACTTGGGAGGCTGAGGCAAAAGAATCGTTTGAACCCGGGAGGTGGAGGTTGCAGGGAGGTGGAGGTTGCAGTGAGCTGCGATTGTGCTATTGCACTCTAGCCTGGGTGACAGAGCAAGACTCTGTCTCAAAAAAAAAAAAAAATTACTGGGCACAGTGGCTCACGCTTATAATACCAGCACTTTGGGAGGCTGAGGTGGGTGGATCACCTGAGGTCAGGAGTTTGAGACTAGCTTTGCCAACATGGTGAAACACCATCTCAACTAAAAATACAAAATATTAGCCAGGTGTGGTGGCATGTGCCTGTAATCCCAGCTACTTCGGGGAGGCTAAGTAGGAGAATTGCTTGAGCCTGGGAGATGGAGGTTGCAGTGAGCCGAGATTGCACCACTGCACTCCTGCCTGGGTGACAGAGTGAGACTCTGTCTCAACAACAACAACAAAAAAATAAAAATAATAAGCCTTTTTTTCTAGAAGGGGTCACCGTAATGTAAGGCATACCATAGGTGCTCCTAGATGGTACAGCTTGACTGCATGGAGAAAATGTACAGTGATGTGGGAACACCACTTGCAATAGGGTTCAGGAGGAAAAGAGCAATAAATAAAACTGCTTTGTGTGCAATATGATCTCAATTATGTAAAATATCCATAGAAAATAGACTAGAGGAAAATATATAAACATGATTGCCTGTGGGTTGTGAACTTATATGTGTATTTTGCTTTGTGAGATAAACCGTTTATTTTTTTAAGACACAGGATCTCAGCTGGGTGCGGTGGCTCATGCCTGTAATCCTAGCACTTTGGGATGCCAAGGTGGGCAGATCACCTGAGGTCAGGAGTAGAGACCAGCCTGGCCTATATGGCAAAACCCCATCTCTACTAAAGGTACAAAAAATTAGGTGGGCATGGTGGTGAGTGCCTGTAATCCCAGCTACTCAGGAGGCTAAGGCTGGAGAATCACTAAAATCCAGGATGCAGAGACCGCAGTGAGCTGAGATTGCACCACTGCACTCCAGCCTGGGCAACAGAGCAAGACTCCATCTCAAAAAAAAAAAAAAAAAAAAAGACACCGGGTCTCCCTCTGTCACCCAGGTTGTTATGCAATGGCATAATCAGTAGCTCACTGCAGCCTCAAACTCCTGGGTTCAAGACATCCTTCTGTCTCAGTCTCAGATTACAGATAGGTGCCACAACATCCAGCTAATTTCTTTACAATTTTTCTTAAAGACGGGGTCTTATTATATTGTCTAGGCCTGTCTTGAACTCCTGGCCTCAAGGGATTCTCCTTCCTTTGCCTCTCAAAGTGCTGTGATCATAGTTGTGAGCCACCGTGCTCAGCCAAAAAAAATTTTCCAGTTTGCTAAAGCTAGTCTATTTTATTTTTATATTATATTTTATCATTTACAAAATACATATATATATAAATATAATTTAGCACTTGGCCCTTGACTGTGTTGCTCTGGTTACCAAAACATTGATGCAACCAGGAGTGATCCTGTATTCATTCATTCATTCCTTTGTTCAGAAAAGACTGAGGGCCTCTTCTGTTTAAGTCACCATTGATAAGTACTACAAGGAACACTAAGATGAATAAGGTATAATCCCTGCCTTATGGTTACTTATGAATAGGGTGTTCTCTTAGATAACCATAACTGAGTAGATAAAATGAAAAATATATGTTTTAGGAAAACTGCCACTGGAGATAAGAGTTCAGAGAAATCTACTTTAACTATGAAGATTAAATAAGATTTTGTGAAGAAGTTGACATTTGGTGCTGAATCTTGAAGGACAAGTGGAAATGGAAAGGCTTACTGGCAATAATAAAAATAATGAAAGGGAATATTTACTTAGCATATACTATGCTATAAACGTCATTGTACTATTAAATTTTACACATTATCTCAGTTAAGGCTCACTAAAGCTCTATGAGATAAGTAGATTTATCATCTCCAATTTACAGATGGGGAAGCTGAGGCTTAGAGAGAGGTTAAATATTTGCCTAAAGTCACAAGGTTGTTGAGCCAGGATTCACAGTCATGACCTCACTATTAATAGCTATGTTATTTGAATGGAGGGAAGAAAACATGAGGCCCACAGGGGATTAGATGGGAAACTTCTGGAAAGTAGGGAACATGTCTGTCTTGCTCGCTTTTCTATGTGTAGGGCCTAGTAGTATCTGGTGCATAGTAAATGATCATATATATTTGTATTGATGAAACAGGGTGAAAGAAACAGGTGAAAGGTGAAAGAAACTGTGTGTGCTGGAAGGCAGTGGGATGGGAAGGTTAGTTAGGGTCAGGCTGTGCTGGTTGTGAATGTGGAGATTCAAAGCAGAGACAGGGCCTGAGTCCATCATAGAGCCAGAGAGCTGACCCAGGCAAGTGTGGTAGACTGGCTCACAGTGGGAGTACAGTTAGTGAGGAAGCCCATGATGGGACAACATGGGAAGTACAGAACTCCAGGAAGTGTAGTGGGGATGGGAGAAGAGGCTGCATAGGTAGAACTGATGAGAAGAGGCTGGGATGGTGCTTGTTTCCAACTTAGAAGGGTGAGTGTGTTAAAAGTTAATTCTCTTATCAGACCTTCTTCATTGCAAACCATACCCCGCCCTGACTACCCCACTTCCTGTGAGCCTCCTTTCTCATCTGTAAAGTGGGGATAGTCTTGGAAAACGATTGCCCTGGGGTTTAAATGTGGTAGTATGGAAACAGTCCCTACCCCACCTCCTCCTTGTATGTTAGCTATTACTATTTACATCTACTTCACAAGAGGTGATCCTGGCTGAGCCTCTTCCCAAGAACTGAAATAATAATGTGACATGTGCCAGGGGGCCCAAGAGTCTTCAGAGTCTTGAAAAACACTTCCAAGCTGGCATTTTTTGGCCAAGGCCCCTCCCTTTGCTAACCCTACTCACTTTGTGTCAGTATAAGAGGTTTCACACCCAAGGGGCCCCATAGCAGAAAAGTAAGTGATTCCCGTAAGCTCTTCCAGAAACACAAGGCTCTTTGGAAAACCAAACTCAAAGAGGAATAAAACTAGTACATATCCAAGCATGTTAAATTTTCATTCATAATTAGCACAGATAACTCAAAGAACCACTCCTCCTTCCTTTAACATTCATCGCTCTCCCTCCAATAGAATAAAATTTCTTGTAAACTTTGTATTTTCCTCCTGCCCATAAGCCAGATGGGCAGGCATGCTTCCTGTTTCATGGATGGAAAGCTCAGGAGGCTGCCCAGTCATTCAGCAAAATCAGAGGTGGGACCCAGGTTATAAACCAATTCTCCCAGCTCTCTAGTTTCTCATGCACCCTGCTCTGTCTCACTTTAGGAAGTTGTCAGCATGAGGAGCAAACAAGCATATAATTAATTACAAATAGGCGTTTGTTTATGTTTTGTTTTTGTTTTTTAGACGGAGTGTCGATCTGTTGCCCAGGCTGCAGTGCAGTGGTGCGATATTGGCTCACTGCAACCTCTGCCTCCCAGGTTCAAGCAATTCTCCTGCCTCAGCCTCCTGAGTAGCTGGGATTATAGGTGCAGGCCACCAGGCCTGGCTAATTTTTGTATTTTTGGTAGAGACAGGGTTTCACCATGTTGGTCAGGCTGGTCTCGAACTCCTGGCCTCGTGATCCACCCCCCTCGGCCTCCCAAAGTGCTGGGATTACAGGTGTAAGCCACAATGCCCAGCCAATGTTTTGTTTTGTTTTTGAGACAGGGTCTCAGTCTGTTGCCCAGGCTGGGGTACAGTGGCACAATCATGGCTCACTGCAGTCTCAACTTCCCAGGCTCAGGTGATCTTCCCACCTCAACCTCCCCAGTAGCAGGGATTACAGGTGTGTACCCCCATGCCCAGATAATGTTTTGTATTTTTTTGTAGAGATGGTGTTTCATCATGTTGCCCAGACTTATCTTGAACTCCTGGGTTCAAGGGATCCACCTGCCTGGGCCTCCCAGAGTGTTGCGATTACAGGTGTAAACAACCATACCCAGACTAAACAGGTATTTGGACCCACTTTATTAATTTGGTGGGCTTTATTTTTTTGAGACAAGGTCTGGTCTCGCTTTGTTCCCCAGGTTAAGGTGCAGTGATGCAGTCACAGTTCACTGCAGCTGCTACCTCCGAGGCTCAAGCAATCCTCCCACCTCAGCCTCCTGAATAGCTGGGACTACAGGCATGTGCCATCACGTCTGGCTAATTTATTTATTTGTTTATTTTTTAAAGACAGGGTCTCACTATGTTGCCCAGGTGGGTCTCAAATTCCTGGGCTCAAGCAATTCTCCCACCTTGGCCTCCCAAAGTGCTGGGATTACAGCTGTGAGCCACAACACCTGGTCTAGTGTTTAAGCATACGGTGTATTTAAACTCTAGGCACAAGTTAGCCTGATCCTTGTCACTTTCTGCCTAAAGCATATTTTCTCTTACCTCTTTTCTTTGGCTGCAGGTTAAATATTGCTCAATTATTTGGTTCCTCTATTTAGAGTTTACCCTTGAGAGAGATAGGATTCAACCTGTTCTGTATCTTACTGAGGACTATTTGAGGGATTCTCCATAAATACTTATGGATATGACAATGGAGGGAAGAGAGGTAGTCTGTACAGAGCGGTACAGTGGGTAAGTATAAGGCCTGGAGACATAGAACAGTCTGAAAAATCCCACTCTGATAGTTAGCTGCTACCTATGATGCTGAGTACCCCACCTTACTTTCTTTTCTGATTTTCAACTCCCTTCCTTTGTAATTTGAAGACAATAACCATTTCAGGACCTAGCCTGTAGTTCCTGGCACATAGTAGGGCTCAGTAGACATTTAGAGAAATAATTAGTACATATCCCACTGGACTGTTATGAGGATTAAATGAGATAATAAATGTCAAGTACTTCCCATAGAACCTAGTGTATACTAGTTACTCAATAAAAGTAGCTACTCTGGACTATTTGGTCATTACTAGTATAGTAGTCCCCTCTTATCTGTGGTTTTGCTACCTGATGTTTCAGTTACCCGTGGTCAACTGCGGTCAGAAAATATTACATACAATAAGATGTTTTGAGAGAGAAAGAGCATAGTCACATAAATTTTATTACAGCCTATTGTTACAATTGTTCTGTTTTATTATTTATTGTTATATCTTCCTGTGCCTAATTTATAAATTAAACTTTATTATAGGCATGTATATATAGGAAAAACACAGTATAGATAGAGTTTGGTACTATTTGGGGTTTCAGGCATGCACTGGGGGGTCTTGTAATGTATCCCCCAGGGATAAGGGAGGATGACTGTATTTGACTTTATTTAGAAATATATGCATATAGAATACCATAGTTGGTTAGGAATCAAAAAACCTAAATTTAAATCCCAATTTCAGCATTTTAAAATTAATTTTATTTTTTAAATGGATGAGAGGTTTATGCGTTGCCCAGGCTGGCCTGGAACTCCTGACCTCGCCTCCTCATGTGCCAGGACAAGTGGCCTGAGCCACTGTGGCTCCCTAAAACTTTTTTAAAAGTAGAGATAGGGTCTCACTGTGTTGTCCAGGCTGGTGTCTAACTCCTGGGTTCCAGTGATCCTCCTGCTTTGGCCTTTCAAAGTGTTGAGGTTACAGGTGTGAATCACCATGCCCAGCCCCAGTTTCATTATTTTAATGTAAAAAAAGCTGCTGGATTTATGTTAAAGAGATTCAGGTATGAGACCTGACTCTGTCTGGCTCTGTTGTGTGACTTTGGATAAGGAACTTTTCTTTTTTCCTTGCTTTTTCTTTTTTCCTGGGTGACAGGAGTCTTGCTCTGTCACCCAGGCTGGAGTGCAGTGGGGTGATCTCAGGTCACTGCAACCTCCACCTCTTGGGTTCAAGCGATTTTCCTGCTTCAGCCTCCTGAGTAGCTGGGATTATAGGTGTGCACCACCACGCCCGGCTAATATTGTATTTTTAGTAGAGACAGTGTATTGCCGTGTTGGCCAGGCTGGTCTCGAACTCCTGACCTCAGGTGATCCACCTGCCTCGGCCTTCCAAACTGCTGGGATTATAGGGGTGAGCCACAGTGCCCAGAGTTTCTTGTCCACACAGTACTCTCATACCCTCACAAGTTCTCAGGGTTGGGGGGATGGTACCTCTCTAATGCCAATTACAAAAAGAATGACCAACAATAGCAATTATGTCCCCTATTAACAAAGTTTACAGAGGGTCTAGAGTGAATAAGCTCTTCAGGAAATATTTATCAATAAATTTTTAATGGCTGGGAGTGGGGGCTCACGCCTGTAATCCCAGCACTTTGGGAGGCCAAGGCAGGCGGCTTGCCTGAGGTCAGGAGTTCAAGACCAGCCTGATCAATATGGTGAAACCCCATCTCTACTACAAAATTTAGCCAGGTGTAGTGGCATGCACCTGTAGTCCCAGCTACTCCAGAGGCTGAGGCAGAAGAATTGCTTGAACCCGGGAGGCAGAGGTTGCAGTGAGCTGAGATCGTGCAACTGCACTCCAGCCTGGGTAACAGAGCGAGACTCCATCTCAAAAACAAAAAAAAATTAATAAAGCTGTGCATGGTGGCACGTGCTTGTGGTCCCAGCTACTTTGGAGGCTGAGATGGGAGGATGGCTTGAGCCCAGGAGTTTGAGGCTGCAGTGAGCCGGATCACACCACTGCACTCCAGCCTGGGTGACAGACCTCATCTCTTCAAATAAATAAACAGTGTATTCCAGTGGTAATGTGCAATAATTTACCTTCTGATTAAGAGTACATGTAATGCACTTAGTAGATTCCCGCTTTAATTCATCGAGACCCCCTTTAACATTACCTTCCTTGGTAGCTCCTTCGAAGTACTGGCTTGTCTATAGAATTTACACAGCACCTTGACTAACATTGTCTTACTTGACCCTTCACAGGAGCTCAGAGGGTAGAAGCAAGTCAGGCATTATTTACCCCCATTTTCCACCAGGAGAGGGGTCCAGGGAAGTGCTGCTAGCTGGCCAAGGCTTAGAGGCTGAATAACCCAAGAGTTGGAATTACCTGGCTATCCCGACCAGTACTTCTCCCTGATACTGGTTACAAACCTACAGCTCAGCCTTGCTGGCTGGGGCAGTTCCAAGAGGCTTTTCATTCAGTCTTCTAGATCCAGAAGGTTGTGTGCTCTAATTCTTGTTTCGGAGATGGCCAACATTCCAGGCTGTTATGTTATGTGAGGACGTGGGATCACAGCCAGTCAAAAGCCAGGACTTCTCCAAGTGAAGTCATAAGCACCAAAGGGATCTTGCTAGACACGCAGATTTCTGGGTCCAATCCCAGACCGAGCCTGATTCCTAACACTTTGGCATTGGCGTTCAAAGAAATCTGCCCTTATCACCCAAACAAAAGTAGCCCATCTAGTCTGATTACCACAGTAACTGCTGTCTTCATAGATACTAGACAAGAATTTATCATTTGTTTATTGTCTCTTTTCCACCTTAGAATAAATTCCATGAGGATAGGGACTTTGTTAGCCTGATTTAAACCAAACCTGTTTCCTAGAACCCTGCAGCCCCCACAGTACGAGGTCAGTAAGTATTTATTGAATCGAATGTACACTGAAGTTTGAAACCGCTGTCATATACTGCTCCTTCATTTTACAATAGGGAAATTGAGGCCCAAGAAGATGGAAGTCACTGTCGCAGGGATGGTAAGGGGCAGGGCCAGGATAAAATCTCAGATCTCACAAGTCCCAATCCAGGGACCGTTCAACTCCGCCCAAAGCAATTCTTTAGAAAAAACGACATCCACTTGAAAGAAAAGACATTTCCTGCCCATAAATACTAGGTTTCACAGCGGGGAGGAGGGCCTGGCCTGGGTGAGGGCTTTGGTAATTCCCTTCCCACTTCTCAGGCGCCCTCTGCCCGCAAAGGCTAAGGACTCGCCTTCCAGGCCCGGAGTCGAACCCATCTCCAGGTAGTGTCGAGGCCAGGCCCGGCGGCGGCGAGGCGCGGAGGCTCAGTGAGGTGCGGACGGCTCACCCAACCAAGGTCACCCAGGCAGAGACTCAAGGGGCCAGGCCCGCTGGGTACAGGGGAGGGGGCGGCGTTGGCGCGTCCTCGGGGTGGATGAGGGGCCTCCCTTCGGCCTCCTGGAAGTCAGGAGTGACACTAATGGCTGCTTCCCCACTGAATCTGGCACTCAGCCTAAAAAGCGCGAGCAGGCCCGGCCGGCCGCGTGGCCTGGTCCCATGTGCTCCACCTGAGGCCGCCCTCACGCGCTGGCCCTTTAAGACACCTCCCCTTCTCACCCAGTCTTGTCTCCTATCCCCCTCAGCGCCCCCACCAACAACTCCCGAATTGCATCAGGCACGTGCTCGCCCCCGTCGGGTCTGAGCGTTCCTACCCCCAGCCCGGGAGGTGCTCGGAGGAGTCGGCGGCCAGGGGCGGGGCGAGGGGCGGGACCGCAGGGCCGTGCGCGCGCGCTCCCGCCGCCTTCTGCCCGCCCGTCGCCCAGGGCCGGGCCGGCGGGCGCGTCCCCGCTGCTCCGTTCCCTCCCCTCGCCCGCCGCGTCGTGAGGCGCGCGCCCGCCCGCCGCCTGCCGCGGATCGCGTGGTCTGCTCTGCTCGCCGCGCCTCTCCCCCGTCCGTCCATATTGCTGCAGCCCCCGAGCCGGGAAGCCCGGGCCGCCCCGGGGGCGGGGGGGAGGGAGGGACGGGTCGAGAAGCCTGCCCGGCTCGGGGTGGGGGCGTCTTGCGAGGAGCGGGCGGGGGGGGACGCACGCCGAGGAGGCCTGGACCGCAGAGTGGGGAGCCTTCCTCCCCCCCCGCCCCTCTAGTGGGCCTCGGATTTACAGCGGCTGCACCTAACTGGGAGGGGGCCGCGCCTCGCGTGAACCCCGACCCTTCTCCGCAGGGACTGGGGCCCAGCGCCCCTGAGGAAGGCGTCGCGGGCGCCCTACGAGCCAAGTTCGAGGCGGGGGAGGCAGCCTCGGGCGCGCCCGGCTTCTCGGGGGGGGGCGGGCGCGCAGATGGCCACTCAGGTGGAGCCGCTGCTGCCTGGGGGCGCCCCGCTCTTGCAGGCCGAAGAGCACGGGGGGCTGGTGAGGAAGAAGCCGCCGCCGGCGCCTGAGGGCAAGGGCGAGCCCGGGACGAACGACGTCCGCGGGGGGGAGCCGGACGGCGGCGCTCGGAGACCCCGGCCGCCTTGCGCCAGGCCGCACAAGGAGGGCATCGGGCAGCAGGAGCGCGAGAACCCGCGGCCGCTGCCGCCGCTGGGCGCCGAGGGCCCAGCCGTCAGCGACGGGGAGGAGGGCGGCGGCGAGCCAGGCGTTGGCGGAGGAGCTGCCGGAGCCGCGGGCGCGGGGCGCCGGGACTTCGTGGAAGCCCCCCCTCCCAAGGTGAACCCGTGGACTAAGAACGCACTGCCGCCGGTCCTGACCACCGTGAACGGACAGTCCCCCCCAGGTGGGTCTCCCTCCTTTTCCTCCTGGGTCCGGGGGCCTCTTCCGGGGACATGGGAGTCCCATCCCCCAGCGCCTCCAGGGCCCCGGGGTCCGCTACCGGTCATGGTGACTCGGGACTTTTGAAAATTGCCTCCTGGTTGATCCTGGTCGCTGCGCCCTCTCCCCACCGCACACTCGGGAACCTGCCCCTGCCCGAGGGCCCGGCCTCCGGGAGGCTGCGGCCACCGCCTGGGCCGCAGCGGTTAGTGGGCGACGGCGTGGTCCGGGCCTACCTCGTCGGCGGAGGGTGGGCGCTGGTTTCAGTGAAAAGGGCCCCACCGCATGTTGGTGGAGGAGACGGCTTCTGGTTTGAACCTTCCTTGGGAAGCCCCTCTTCCCACCCCGCCCGGCGCTCCCCGTTTTGGTAGCGTTGCGAACGTCCCCATATTGTAAATGTTTAATGAGCGTATGTCACGGGCAACCCAGTGCCCAGCATGGAGTACATGCCGGCCGCACGGATTCGGGGATTAAAAGTTAACAAGGTTTGTTCTCGGGGAGATGATATTGGGCGGTAGAATCTCGTTTTGCAGAAGGATTGAGGGGTCAGTTACCGGGAGAATGGGGAGAAACCCATCGTGTTACCGAATTCGGTGGTTTTCCTCCCCGATCCCGGGCACCTTCCGCCTTGAGAAGGAGCCCGACGGCTAGTGTGCTGGGTGAGCCAGTTAGAAGGTTTGGCCGAAAATGAGGCGGGTGAGGGGCCTGCGGCGACAGGAGGGGCGTGTGGCGGCAGGGGAGGGAGTGTCCGGGCTGGGCGGGAGGGTGACAGTTGGGCGCCATGCGCTGCGCCGGCGGCCCACGGGCCGCTCGGCCTCGGCGTTCGGCGCGGGCCGCGTCGCTCCGGGTGGCAGGCGGGTGCGGGCCCGCAGCGCGGCCCGAGTGTGCGTGTGCGCGGGTGTGTGCGCGTTCCCCCTTCCCAGCATTCCTCTGCAGCCGGGACAACGTGGTGCCTCCCCGCGCGGGGAGCGGCATGTGACTGCTGACCGGCGCTCCCCGAGTCCTCCCTCTCCCTCCTCCGCGTTTTGGTCCTTTGGGACCGTGCCCCTTTCCAGGGGGAGGTGAGGGTGCAGGAAATCCCAGCAGAGCCGTGTCAGCCTGGGGAAGAGAGGCGGTGCAGAATATGGAGTCTGCTCTTGGCCTGCCTTTGCCGGGAATAGCTCGTCCGCTTGGGTGGGGGTCGCGCCCACTCTCCTCTCTCGGCTGGCGGATAGGGCGGGTCTCCATTCTTTGGTTTTGGGTCAGCTTGCGGTGGATCGGTTTTAAAACTGTCTTGTAGTTAGAATGATGGCCTCTGGTCGTAGCCTTGGTGCTGTTAAAAAGCTTTTCTTCTTCTGTCGCTGGTTGAGGCTAACTAGTTTAAACCATTCAAAAATAAAGGGGAAGCTTATGCCTTCACAGTCAAAGTAGAATCATTCCTCGTCCTAGGGAAGCCAGAATAGCCAGGCCTGAAAACATCATGTTGCAATTTTTATTTCTTTTCAGGTTGCTTCATTTGGAGGAGGGGACATTTAGACAGTCCGTCAAACTGTTCTCTTCCTTCTCCCCTCCTCCCCTTCCCTCCTTTCCCTTCCAGAACCCTCTTATGCAAAGGACAGTGCTGAAACCTCCGTTGTCTTTCACGTCCCTCCTATCCACCCACAGAGTGAGGGAAAACAACTTTAAAACACTCTTTGGTCCTTCTCCCTTCTTTAAACTCCAAAGGGTATAATCATCCCCGGGAGAGAGCACTCCTCAGAAGTTTAAATGGGGCTACTCATTCTGGCTGCTGCTTGGCTAATGGTGAACCTGCCTTGTGGGTTTTCAATCAGCCATGACATCAGGTGGTATTGGGTGCCTGAGCTGGCATTTTGTGTAAGTCCAGGAGCCCTTGATACTGTGCGTCACTGGGGTTATTGATCGTGGGAAGAAGACAGCTTGGCTGGCATCTTGCCTTTCCCCTGAGTGGAGAAGCTGATTGGCTTTAAGTGCCCAAAGCAAAATTCTTGAGTGGAAGTAGATTTGTTCTGTTTATGTTTTTTGGAATCAGGGCAAGAGAGGTCTACTTGGTTTAGAACCTTTGGAATAGGTTTTGACAGCCTAACTCAGTTAATCCAGTAGCTTCTCTCTAAGCCTGTTGTTAGGACTTGTGAGCATTTTGAGAGGGAATTCTATGATTGGGTTGTCAGTCTGCTAAGGCTAGATGGTGGCCTTTTATCTGGAGCGTACATAGGTCTCTGAAGTGCTTTTCCAGCCCTGGTATTTTTATAGCTTCGACATATTTAAATGTGACACTAGTGGAGTGGCTGTGTGGTCTTGGGAATTTTTGTGTTCTGTGATGCATATGTTTTTGGGAGTCTACAGAAATAAGTACCTCATAAGCAAACTAAAAGCTTTCCAAAGCTTGCTGCAAATGCCTATTTTTAGCCCTCCTTTTGGCTCAGATGTTGGTGTTTTAGTTCTTTAAGGGACGCTTGCAGTAAGTAGTAATAAAATACGTTTTGTGATATCTTTCCTTTCTTGTGGAGTTCTGTATTCTGGTTTAAATATCCAAGTCTTAGATTTGTAGTTTTAAATCTTGGGATTTGCGTTTTGGCTTTTTGGATCTCCTTCCCTCCCTAGCATATTTTTAAATGTTTAAATTTTTTTCCTTATTCTAGTCATACCCTTTCTAAGTATAAGATCCAACATGTCTAAGTTAAGAGATGATATATGGCGAAGGTTCTGGGGTCAAACTGTGTGGGTAGCTCTACCACTTGTTAGTTGTGCCTTCTTGGGCAAGTTGTTTAACCATTCTGTGCCTCACCTTCTTAATTTGTGCAGTAGATGTTTATGATTTACTTGCCTCATGGCGGTATTACGAGCATTCATTGTTACGATATGTGTATTTAGCCCAGTGCCTGGCAGGTAGAAGTTGTTACTTACTGTGGGTCTTGGTGGAACGTCTCTCTGGGTCTCTGTTTTTCTCTACCTGTAACGTGATGGGGTTGGTGAATGCGGACCTCTCCTTTTCTTGGGTTACATCAGTACTCCATGAACTGTATGGGATCTGTCTTCTTAAAACTTGACTTTTGCTTATCTACAAGGCATGGGATGGATAATTTAAAGGTTAGTGACTCTTAAGAATTGGCTATTTTTTGCTTTGGAATGTGGTGAGATGAATTTTTTAAAAATAAGTTTTAACTTTTTAATTTGCCTTTTGTAAAGATTCTCTTTTGAGGGAGTTGCACATGTACTCTCAGGACTATGAGGAAAAGCCAGCCTAACTGGACGGAAAGTTTGCTGGTGGCTGGTGCACGTGTAGTGCCTTGAGACTTGAGTACAGATAATCCTCAATTTATGATTTTTTTGACTTTACGGTGATGGGGAAAGTGATACAAATTTAATGGAAACTGTATTTCAGGTACCCATACAACCATGTTTTTTCACTTTCAGTACAATATTTAATAAATTACGTGAGACATTCAACAGTTAAAATTGACTTTATATTAGACGTTTTGGCAATCTGTAGGCTAAAGTGTTCTGTGTGCATTTAAGATAGGCTAGGCTAAGCTTTTTTTTGAGACAGTCTTGCTCTGTTGCCCAGGCTGGAATGCAGTGGTGTGATCTCAGCCCACTGCAACCTGTGCCTCCTGGGTTCAAGCGATTCTTCTTCTGCCTCAGCCTCTTGAGTAGCTGGGAGTACAGGTGTGTGCTACCATGCCTGGCTAATTTTTGTATTTTTAGTAGAGATGGAGTTGCACCATGTTAGCCAGGCTGGTCTCGAACTCCTGACCTCAGGCAAGCCGCCTGCCTTGGCCTCCCAAAGTGCTGGGATTACAGGTGTGAGTCACCATGCCCTGCGCTAGGCTAAGTGTTGATGTTCAGTAGGTTAGGTGTATTAAATGCATTTTCAATTTAATTATATTCAGATTTTTATTTTTTATTACTTTTTCTTTATTTTTTTTTTTGAGACGGAGTTTCACTCTTTCGTCCAGGCTGGAGTGCAGTGGTGTGATCTCGACTCCTGGCAACCTTTGTCTTCTGGTTTCAAGCCACTCTCCTGCCTCAGCCTCCTGAGTAGCTGGGATTATAGGTGCATGCCACCACACCTGGCTGATTTTTGTATTTTCAGTAGAGATGGGGTTTCACCATATTAGCCAGGCTGGTCTTGAACTCCTGATCTTGTGACCTGCCCGCCTAAGCCTCCCAAAGTGCTCGGATTACAGGAATGAGCCGCCACACCCGGCCATAGTTACTTATTTTTTAGACAGGGTCTCACTCTGTCACACAGGCTGTAATGTAGTGAAACAATCATGGCTCACTGCAGCCTCAAACCCCTAGACTCAAAGGATCCTCCCACTTTAGCTTCCCTAGTAGCTGGGATTACAGGCGCACACCACCACACTGGCTAATTTTTTTCTGTATTTTTTGTAGAAATGGGGTTCTGCTATATTGCCCAGGTGGTTGCAGACTCCTGGGCTCAAGTGATCTGCTGGCCTTGGCCTCCTGA